GGCACACAGCGCCAACATCCCACACAGGCACCAGTTCAAGTCCCGGCTGCTCCACTTCCGATCCAGCTCCCTCTAACGACCCAAAGGCTTGGGCCCCTGCGCCAGCCTGGGAGACCCGGAGGAAGCTCCTGGCTCTGGCCTGGCCCAGCTCGGCCATTCAGAGAGTGACCGGTGGGGTGGCCTGAAGGTCTGCTTCTCTCTCTTATTCTGCCTTTCAAAAACAAAACTTAGAATAATTTTTATTTCTAAAGCCCTGCATCTCTCAAACAGCTACTAAACATCGCACCCAGAATCCAGCAAACTCACTCATTCATCAGCACAGCGCACTCAGGGGGACACAGAGGCCACACCGCGGGCCGACGTCAGCAACCTGATCCCCGAGCCCTGCAGGCTGCACCATGAGAGACCGCTCAGGGACAGGCGGCTAATCCTCGTCAGGGCAGTCACTGGCCGAGGGGCCCAGCAGAGCGTCCCTGGACAGCTCAAGCCGATACCCAGACATAAGCCGCAGCCACTGTGCCGGGGTCCCTGTCACTTCTACTCAGCGAGGAGCAGATGAGCTGCCTTCCCATCACCTCCTGGAGCGGGCTCCTCCCTCACCTCCCAGGGGTGCGGGCAGAGGCCCCACCTCCCAGGGAGCAGGGTGCGGGCAGAGGCCCCACCTCCCCCACCTCCCAGGAAGCAGGGTGCGGGCAGAGGCCCCACTTCCCCCACCTCCCAGGGAGCAGGGTGCGGGCAGACTGCTGAGGCCGTACTGACAGCCGGGATTCTCTCCCAAGACCAAGATGCAGCGCTGGAGCCAGAGCCGGGCCCGGGGCCTGGGGCGTCTGCAGGACACCTGCAGCTCAGGTCCCCACACACCCCAGATTCTGCTCCCTCACCCTGACCCCAAAGAAGGGTCCAGCACACCGGGACCCCTCCTGCACACCTCAGCCTGGGCTTGGCCAGGACGTGGCAGCCACAGGAGGCGTGGGCTCCAGTTCCACGTCTGACAAGCACCCCAGTGAGACCCTTGGTGTGGCGCGGTCACGGCGCCGCTGGCCTCCACCAGCGAGGGGAGGTGACTCATGAGCAGAAGTGGCCAGAAACACCCAGGACCTGCCCAAGGCCCGACCCGTTAGAGAACCATCCGTGGGAACACAAGAACACACACTCACCGGAGCCAATGCCGGCGTGACACAAGTTCTGGAAAGGACTCCAGCCCTCTGCTCACGGCTCTGCCACAGAACCACGGCTCCCGGCTGCGGGCACGCGGACAGCTCACGCAGCTCTCTAAATTAAGAGCCAGGCAGGGGCCGGCGCTGTGGCGCGGTGGATAAAGCCGCAGCCTGAGATGCCAGCATCCCACGTGGGTACCGGCTGGAGACCCAGCTGCTCCACTTCTGACCCAGCTCCCTGCTAATGACCCGGGAAGGCAGCACGTGACAGGCCAAGTGCTTGGGCCCCGGCACCCACGCGGGACACCCAGCTCCTGGCTCCTGGCTTTGGAATGGCCAAGCCTTGGCCTTTGCAGCCTTTTAGGGAGTGAACCAACGGACGGAAGACCTCTCTCTCTGTAACTCTGCGTTCAGAATAGTAAAAAGTAAACAAATAAGAGCCAAGCAGGTGACCCCCTTCTCAAGCACCAGACATCAAACCCAGAACCGAGGGTTTCCAGGTGAGGCGTCCTGGGTGACGAAGACACACCTCTAAGAGCACCGCGGCCGACAGCAGGTTGCAGTTTTTCACAGAGGGACAGAGAGGAAGCTCTTCCCTCCACTGGCTCCCTCCCCAGACGCCTCAACAGCCAGGGCTGGGCCAGGGCTGGGCCAGACCTGAGCCAGGAGCCAGGAGCTCCCCCAGGCCTCCCACACGGGTGGTGGAGCCCCAGGATTTTGGGGCCACCATCCAGTGCCTCCCAGGAGCATTAGCAAGAATGGATCAGACGCAAAGTAGCAGGACTTGAACTGGCGCTCCAACACGGGGTGTGACGACTTGATCCGCAGTGCCACACGGCCTACCTCCGGACTCCAATTTCTGAAACATCTTAACTTCAAAGTAATTCCAGGGGCTGGCGCTGTGGCGCAGCGGGTAAAGCAACTGCCTGCGACACCAGCAGCCATGGGCGCGAGCTGGAGCTCCCTCCTAATGGCCTGGGAAAGCAGAGGATGAGATAACCCAAGTGCTTGGGCCCCTGCACCCACATGGAAGACCAGGGTGGAGCTCCTGGCTCCTGGCTTTGGCCTGGGCCAGACACAGCCATTGTGACCATCTGGGGCGTGAGCAGTGGATGGGAAACGTCTGCCTGCCTGCCTCCCCAGCTTTCACATAATAAATCATTAAAACAAAGCAATCACAGGCTGAATGCTCACAGGGTCTAGGAGGAGGTCTCACGTGGTCTTCCTGCCCCGACTGACGGGCAGGGGTCCCGGGGCCCCACTCAGGCACTCCCCAGGGTCCCTGCACTCCCTCACGACGGCCACTGGGGACGGGGCAGCGTCTCCCCCAGCCTCTGCTGAACACCTTGTCCCCACTCACCCGGCACATGCATGCGCCTGCAACACTGCTCGGCCACACGACACTCAGCACACACACGCTCACACACGTGCACACATGCACCTGTGACGTCCTCTCCGCCCAGACCCCTGTGGCCCTCACTCCACGGAGAGTGCACGGCAGAGAGCACCAGGAAAACCAAGCAGAAACAGGAGTGGGGGGGCCTGGAGCAGGAAGTGGGGCGGGGGCGCCGGGACCCCGCTCAGACCCACGGGGTCCCCAGGGCCCCCTCGAGTCCTGCAGCTCTGCCACAGGGAGGACCACTGCACACACCACCTGCTTCCAACCAGGGGGCCTGCCCCGGGCTGTCCATCACTGCACCTCTTCAGAGCGGGGGGCCAGCATCCAGCGCCCGGGGACTCTGTGTGGGGCAGTGTCCAGCGCCCGGGGACTCCAGGGGGGCAGTGTCCAGCGCCCGGGGACTCTGTGTGGGGCAGTGTCCAGCGCCCGGGGACTCTGTGTGGGGCAGTGTCCAGAGTCCGGGGACTCTGTGTGGGGCAGTGTCCAGTGCCCGGGGACTCTGTGTGGGGCAGTGTCCAGCGCCCAGGGACTCTGTGTGGGGCAGTGTCCAGCGCCCGGGGACTCTGTGTGGGGCAGTGTCCAGCGCCCGGGGACTTCAGGAGGGCAGTGTCCAGCACCCGGGGACTCTGTGTGGGGCAGTGTCCAGCACCCGGGGACTCTGTGTGGGGCAGTGTCCAGCACCCGGGGACTCTGTGTGGGGCAGTGTCCAGCGCCCGGGGACTCCAGGGGGGCAGTGTCCAGCGCCCAGGGACTCTGTGTGGGCAGTGTCCAGCGCCCGGGGACTCTGTGTGGGGCAGTGTCCAGCGCCCGGGGACTCTGTGTGGGGCAGTGTCCAGCGCCCGGGGACTCTGTGTGGGGCAGTGTCCAGAGTCCGGGGACTCTGTGTGGGGCAGTGTCCAGCGCCCGGGGACTCTGTGTGGGGCAGTGTCCAGAGTCGGGGACTCTGTGTGGGCAGTGTCCAGCGCCGGGGACTCTGTGTGGGGCAGTGTCCAGAGTCCGGGGACTCTGTGTGGGGCAGTGTCCAGCGCCCGGGGACTCTGTGTGGGGCAGTGTCCAGAGTCCGGGGACTCTGTGTGGGGCAGTGTCCAGCGCCCGGGGACTCTGTGTGGGGCAGTGTCCAGCACCCGGGGACTCTGTGTGGGGCAGTGTCCAGCGCCCGGGGACTCTGTGTGGGGCAGTGTCAGCGCCCGGGGACTCTGTGTGGGGCAGTGTCCAGCGCCCGGGGACTCTGTGTGGGGCAGTGTCCAGCGCCCGGGGACTCTGTGTGGGGCAGTGTCCAGCGCCCGGGGACTCTGTGTGGGGCAGTGTCCAGCGCCCGGGGACTTCAGGAGGGCAGTGTCCAGTGCCCGGGGACTCTGTGTGGGGCAGTGTCCAGTGCCCGGGGACTCTGTGGGAGGCAGTGTCCAGTGCCCGGGGACTCTGTGTGGGGCAGTGTCCAGCGCCCGGGGACTCTGTGTGGGGCAGTGTCCAGTGCCCGGGGACTCTGTGTGGGGCAGTGTCCAGTGCCCGGGGACTCTGTGTGGGGCAGTGTCCAGTGCCCGAGGAGTCTGGGAGGGGCAGTACCCTGTGCCCCAGGGACTCCAGGGGGGCAGTGTCCAGCACCCGAGGACTATGCAGGAGGGTGAGTGTCCAGCACCCCGGGGGCTCTGGGGGGCAGTGTCCAGCGCCCCAGGGACCCTGAAAGGGGCGGCAGTGTCCAGCACCCCAGGATTCTGTGAGGGAACAGTGTCCAGTGCCCGGGGACTCTGTGGGGGGCTGTGTCCAGCACCCCGGGACTCTGTGAGGGGACAGTGTCCAGTGCCCTGGGACTCTGCAAGGACGGGCAGTACCCAGCGCCCCGGGGACTCCGTGGGGGGCAGTGTCCAGCGCCCTGGGGACTCTGCAAGGGGCGGCAGTGTCCAGCGCCACAAACAGCGAAGCCAGGACAGCTGAGGACGTCGGCGTTCAGGAGGAGCCCTGGGCACAGAGGCAACGCGGGAACTTTGGCCCGCGCCGGGCGCCGCGTGGACGCCGCAGACCTCGGCTGTCCCGCCCCGCAGGGACGCCGCATCGCTCTGTCGCACCGCGAACGCGTCCCGGGTCGCAACACGGAGGCTGCGCGGCCCCGGCCAGTTGGGTCCGCGAGCCGTCATGGCTGCAGCGCGGGGCGGCCCGGGGGGCGGGGGGCGCGCGCGCGGCCCCGCCCCGGCCCCGCCCCCACGCGCGAGCGCCGCCCCCACGCGCGGCGCCGCGGCCAATGGGGGAGCCGCCGCCGGCACCGCGGCGGAGCAGGTGAGGCCCCCGGGGCGCGCCCGACCCCGGCCCGGAGCCGCCCCGGCCGCGCCCCGAGCCCGCGGCGCCGCGGCCAGCCCCCGGCCCTCAGGCCGCCGCCGCCCCGGCCGCGGCGCGCCGGCCCCGCCGCCCGCGTCGCCGGCCGCTCGCCCTCGCCCCCGCCCCGCACTCACCTGTGCCCGCCCGCCGCCCGCCGGCTCGCGGCTCGGCTCCCGCTCCGCGGCGCTGCTGGGCCGCCGGCCGACGCGCTCCTCAGCGGGGGACTCGGGCGACGGCGGCAGCAGAGGGCGCGGGAGCAGCACCGGCAGAGGCGGCGGGGACGCGCACGCTCACGCACGCACCCGCACCGGCGCGCGCGCCCCCGGAAGGACGTGGGCTCCGGCGGGTCGGAGACTGGTGGGGCCGACTGCGCCTGCGCCGCCTCAGGCCCCGCCCGACGGGGGGCGGGGCCTCGCCTGACAGTGGGGGCGGGGCCTCGGGGGCGGGGCCGGGCGCGACCCCCGGGACCCGGCGAGCTCCGCGTCTTTCTGCCGCTCTGCCCAGCGCCTTGCGTCAGAGAAAATGTCCTCAAAGAAGTGGCCGGGGAGACGCCGTCTCCGCCCCAGCCGGGGCTGGACGCCTCCCAGTCACCGCAGACGACGGCGTAGAAGGCAGGGACGGACCCGCAGCGCCCCGCCCCGGAGCGATCCGCAGCGCGGCGAGTGCGCCCTGAACGCGGGCGCTGCCCTCAGCCCCTGCCTAGCGCTCACCTGCCAGCCGCCCGCTGTGGTCAGCTTCCTGAGCCGGACCGGGCGGGAGTGAGGTGCGGGCCGCATCACGCACGCGAGCGCCTGGGTTCGGCTCCTGCCCGTGTTTGTGCCACCGCGCACCCTGGGGCGGCGGGAGATGCGCGGTGGGGGCGTGCACGAGTGGATGGGAGAGCTCTGTCTCTCTCTGCCTTTCAAATAACACGGAAATACGCAATTTAAACGAGAGAGACCATGGGCCAGGTGACACCCAAGGCTCCCGTGCCCGTCCGCACTGCTCGCTCTGTCGCCACGCGAGCCGGGCTCCGGCGGCCGAGAGGGACCAGGGTGAGAACCGGGGCGTGAGAAGGGTGGACCTGGCGCCACTTCAGATGGCTGTGGTCAGCCTGTGCCAGAGCTGCAGGCGTGAGCCAGGCCCTCGAGGGAAGCAGTGGACCCGCTGTCCCCCAGCACCGAGATGTGCTGACGGCGGCTCACAAGGGAGGAGGGCAGAGCAGCTCGCGCGCAGCCTGCAGGGGCAACGTGTGTCTGTCTACAGATACTGATGCTGCACAGATTATTTTATTAAGATTTATTTATGGGCCCAGCGCCGTGGCTCACTTGGTTAACCCTCCGCCTGCAGCGCCAGCATCCCATTTGGGCACCGGGTTCTAGTCTGGGTTGCTCCTCTTCCAGTCCAGCTCTCTGCTGTGGCCCGGGAAGGCAGTGGAGGATGGCCCAGGTGCTTGGGCCCTGCATCCGCATGGGAGACCAGGAAGGGGCACCTGGCTCCTGGCTTCAGATCGGCGCAGCGCCAGCCGTAGCGGCCTTTTGGGGGCTGAACCAACGGAAAGGAATACCTTTCTCTCTCTCTGTAACTCTGTCAAATAAATAAATAAATCTAAAAAAAAAAAAGATTTTTGAAAGTCAAAGTTGCAGAGAGAGATCTCCCATCCACTGGTTCACTCCCCAGATGGCTGCAAGGGCCAGAGCTGCACCGGTCCAAAGCCAGGAGCCAGGAGCTTCTTCCAGGTCTCCCATGCAAGTGCCAGGAGCCCAAGGACTTGGGCCATCCTCTACTGCTTTCCCAGGCCACAGCAGAGAGCTGGATCAGAAGAGCAGCCGGGACTCGAATCCTCGCTCACATGGGATGCTGGTACTGCAGGCAGAGGGTTTACCCACTGTGCCACAGTGCCGACCCCTACAGATGTTTTTCAGGGAAATCAGAGGAGAGCACGCTGGCAAGTGCTGGCAGTGCCTCCAGCTGGAGCCGCACGTCCGTGTCTGTTTGCTAAGTGCCCTCAGAAGCGGGACATGGCCAGCACCGCCCCTGCTCTGCAACAGCCGAGTGCAGGCTCCACCTGTCACAGCCCTGCATACTCTGGCACCAGACATGGGGCTGGTGCTGTCAGAGCCCAGCTTCCCGCAAACGCACGCCCTGATGGCTTCAGTGGGTGCGACCCTGCCACCCACGGCAGGGGCCTGGACTTCAGCCCAGCCAAGCCCCAGTTGTGGGTATTTGGGGGTTGAACTAGCAGATGGAAAATCTCTCCCTTTCTCCATAACCCTGCCCTTCAAGTGGATGAAAAATACAAGAAACATTAAGAAGTGAAGAGAATGAGACTTGCTTACATCACCGTGGGGTGGGGGTGGGCCTTGTGGCACGCGCAGCTGAGCTGCCGTGAACACCCCAACACAAGCCCCAGCTGCTCCACTCTGACCCAGCTCCCTGCTGATGTGCTGGGAGGCAGGTGGCGCCCCAAGTCCTCGGGTCCCTGCCACCCACGTGGGAGACGCAGCTGGAGTTTCAGACTCCCAGCTCCGTCTGGCCCAGCCCTGGCTGTTGTGGGCATTTAGCGAATGAAAAACCAGATGGAAGTTCTCTCTCTTGTGTCTCTTCCTCTCTCTCACTCTTTCAAATAAACAACTTTTTTTTTTTAATTTATTTATTTGAAAGTTACACAGAGGAGAGGTAGAGAGGTTCACTCCCCAATTGGCTGCAATGGCCAGAGCTGCACCAAAGCCAGGAGCTTCTTCCAGGTCTCCCATGTGGGTTCAGGGGCCCAAGGACTTGAGCCATCTTCTACTGCTTTCCCAGGCCATAGCAGGGAGCTGGACTGGAAATGGAGCAGCTGGGACTTGAGCTGATGCCCATATGGGATGCCAGCACTGCAGGCTTTACCCACTACACCACAGCATAGGCCCAGTAAAACCTAAAACAATGTTCGTAGGCACTGGGCCAGAACCAGAGCTTCTTGCAAAGCCAGCATCGTAGAGGGGTGCCGATGGTGTCTCCACTGTTCCACCTCCGATCCAGTTCCCTGGTAAAACAAGATGGCCCAAGAGCTTGGGCCCCTGTGCCCATGTGGGAGACCAGGAGGAAGCTCCTGGCTTCTGCCTGGCCCAGCCATTTGTGGAGTGGCCCAGTGGATGGAAGATCGTATTTGTCACAGGAGTGGGGTGTGTGGTGCAGTGACTGGAATGCCATCTGGGGCACCCTCCCGCCTCATCAGAGCCCTGGCTCTGCTTCCAATCCCAGCACTGATGGTCAAGTCCTGGGAACCTGGCTGAAGCCTGGCCCGGCTCAGTGTGGCTGCTGCTGGTGTCTGGGGTAAAGCAGTAGATGCTGATATCAGTCTCAAAACGAGTGAAAATGGAAATCGCTTAAGTCACTGTGGAGGGAGAAACAGGTGTTTCTGAACCTAGTATCCCTTCCTGCAGATAAAGCGGCTCCCAGCACCCAACACACAGGGGGCGGCGCTGCAGGCCTCCCTCAGGAGCTGCTGGGGCTGAAGTGCCGCCCGGACCTGGCCACATCCCCTCCTCCCATCTGGCCGAGCGCTGCACACCCACCTTGCTGTGCAGCCCATGAAGTGAACCCACATGGAACGTGAGGTGCTGTCTCTGAAGGGCCCTCAAACATGGGGCGACACAGCCCCCCACGCCTCCCAGTGCCTCCCTGCCAACCACCACCTGTTGTGCTCCTGCCCCCACCCCCGAGGCTGCAGGCCCTGTTCTTCCGTTTTTGTCCCCATCCTGAAAGACACCAAACAAGTGGCTGGGGGTTCCTCCCCAAGGGAATGCTTTATTGACAGCTGCCCATCATCCAGCTCACGAGCTGCACGTCAGGCCCTCGCCACCTCCCCACAGCCCGGACAGCTTCTGGCTCTGCAGAAAGGACACCAAGTGGCACTCATGCCCAGCCACCACACCCATGTGTGCTGTGGGCAGTGCAGACCCCAAGGCAGAGCCCTCTGGCCACGCCCCCTCACCACGCCCCCACGTGGCTCTGGGGAGGCTGCCAGGCTGTGGCAGCTTAAAAGCAGGAGCACAGCTCCTCAGGGAAGGCGGCCACAGCCCAGCTGCTCCTGCCAGCCCACCCCCAGCTGACCCGCGGGGCTGCTCCCACCAGCGTCCACCCCCAGCTGACCCGCGGGGCTGCTCCCACCAGCGTCCACCCCCAGCTGACCCACGGGGCTGCTCCCACCACAGAGCCCACTCCCAGCTGACCCGCGGGGCTGCTCCCGCCAGAATCCACCCCCAGCTGACCCGCGGGGCTGCTCCCACCAGCGTCCACCCCCAGCTGACCTGCGGGGCTGCTCCCACCACAGAGCCCACTCCCAGCTGACCGGAGGGGCTGCTCCCACCACAGAGCCCACTCCCAGCTGACCGGAGGGGCTGCTCCCGCCAGCCCACCCCTAGCTGACCCGAGGGGCTGCTCCCACCAGAGCCCACTCCCAGCTGACCCGCGGGGCTGCTCCCACCAGTGTCCACTCCCAGCTGACCCGCGGGGCTGGCTCCTCCGTGATACACAGGAGACTGGAGCTGTGGGCAGTGCTGGCCACCCCACCAGCCAGGCCCTTGCAAAGGCACAGACAAGAGCCCCACTCACTGGTTCACTCCCCAGACCCACACAGCTGGGGCTGAGCCTGGGCTGAGGGTGGAAGCAGGGAACTCAGCCCAGGTCTCCCACATGGACGGCAGGAGCCGAGGTACTCCGCCATCACCGCTCACTCTCGGGGTGTGCCTTGGCAGGAAGCCGGAGCCGGGCACTGCACCCCGCCACTCCCCTGGGGGCACGGCCTTTCCCGCTCGGCACTGCCCACCCAGGGAGGCCCCCGCTGCGCCTGCAGTTCTAGACAGTGCTCAGAACCCACAAGGAGCCCTCCAAGTGAAGATTATAAATAAAGCCTAAGGCGACGTAGGGAATGCATTTCAGCACAAAGAAACGCTGTTCTGCAAGGTGAGGCCAAGCTGCTTGCCTGAATTTAATTTTTGAAAAGTCCACTGCATTAAAAAAATAATGAATTTGCTTTGTTGAAGCCAGGTCACCCGTGTGACAGCGAGCACTGCTGTTTCCTTTCCGGGTCGCAGGGCAGGCACGGGCGGGGCTGCTCCGGACGTCCCCAGGGAGCCACCCTGTCCACTTCCTGCCCCCAGGAAGGGCAGCGCGGTGACCTGTGACCTTTCGTGTGAGATTTCTGCTCACACCCGCTGCAGGCGGCCGGCGCGGCTCCGTGCTTCGCTGGCTGGCGGGGAGGGCGCGCGGGAGGCTAGAAAGGCGCATGCTCTGGCAGGGGCTGGGTGCCGCCCGCGGCCGAGGCGGCAAGGTGGTCGCCGCCGTTCTCTCCGCCACCCGCGACCTTCGACTGCAGGAGGGACGAGAGCAAGAAACAGAGCCTGGGACATGGCCCGGGCCCAGCGGGCCACGGCCCGGGCAGACTCACGTGGCTGATGCCGGCACAGCCGTCTGGGGAGCCAGGCCACGAGCTCAGCCCCACAGGGCTGCAGTCTAGGACCCACCGAAGGGACACTGCTGAAGTGACAGGATCCTCGAAGGAGAGCTCGCGTTAAGAGTTGCTGGTGCCGGGGCCGGCGCCGGGGCTCACTCGGTTAACCCTCCCCCTGCAGCACCGGCATCCCATATGGGCGCCGGGTTCTAGTCCTGGTTGCTCCTCTTCCAGGCCAGCTCTCTGCTGTGGCCCTGGAGGGCACTGGAGGATGGCCCAAGTGCTTGGGCCCTGCACCTGCATGGGAGACCAGGAGGAAGCACCTGGCTCCTGGCATTTTGGGGGTGAACCAGCAGAAGGAAGACCTTTCTCTCTGTCTCTATCTCTCTCACTATCTAACTCTGCCTGTCAAAAGAAAAAATAAAATAAAATAAAATAAAATAAAAATAAAAGAGTTGCTGGTGCTGGGGCAGAAAGATGGGCGTGGCCACAGGAGGGGGTGGGGTCTCTGCACAAAGGCTTCTCTGGGTCACAATCTCAAGTGAGTCTGCAACTAAGTGACCTGTCATGTGACAGGTCGCCCTAAGGATGCTGGACACATCTAAGTGACGTGTCGGGGTGACAGTATGACTGGTCGCCCGGAGGCACTGGACAGCTGCACAATTACCTTGATGGTCCCGACGCGGTCTTCGAAGGACTTGAAGGCTGCAGAGTTCCTGAGAGAGAGCAGAGGCCGGATGAGGGGAGACGCACACCCCGCTCAGGTCATAAGAGCCTCGGGGGGCAGCCTCCAGCAGGACCCTCGGGCACCCCAAAATCTCCCTGCAACGACACCCCCAGAGAGCCCAGCCAAGGCCACGCCAAGGGCTCCTCAGGTCACAACCGACTCAGCCGCGCCACAGGGCCAAGCCAGAGGTCACACAGCCCCGGCTCGCACCTCTGGCCCCTTGTTCTGGGCCATGGAAAAGCCTTCCCACAGAGGGGAGGGACCTGGGATGACACCCAGGACAACTCCAGGACGGCAGAGCCGGGAGCAGCAGAGGTGCCGGGCAGCCGGCCTTGCTGCCTGAGGTCCCTCCCACACACAGCAGGGTCCTGCACAGCTGGGGTCAGCAGTGTGGAGGCCTCCAGCCCCTCCTCACACAGACCAGGACTTGGTCTCCAGTGCAGGCCTCGGCAAGTGCATAGACTCCTCCCTGTCCCAGCCTCCAGCAGCCTGGAAGGTCCTTCCCAACCCTTAGCTGCCAGCGGAACAGACCCCTGACTTGAGAGAGGAAGTGCGGGCTGTGAGCCCCCTGCCCCCGCCCAGACGCCCCTGCTGAGTGGTGGGGCACAGGCACCGTTACCTCATGGCCGGCATGCTTATCGAGTGGCGGATGGAGTGGCTGCTGCCGGCAGGCATGAGAAGCAGAGAAGCAGGAGTTAGCGACAAGGACAACACTTGCAGGCGCGCGGCAGCCCGGCGCACAGGTAACCCTGACCACCAGAAGGGGCCACCACAGCTGGATGAGCGTCTGGCCCCCCAAAGTGCCCCAGAAAGAAGAGACCCAGGTGCCTTGTTGCCAGCTCCACGGAGAACACGGCCCTGCTGGAGGACAGTGTGGGACAGGGACAGCGGAGGCACAGACCGGACGCTTCCCCGGCTGTCAGGTGTGACGCTCAGAACACCTGCAGAGAGAGGCTGGGGCGGCCACTCACCGGCCCAGGGGCGACACTCTCAGTGGGGACACAGGCACACTGAGGCCAGGGACGCCCCATCTCCGCTGTTCTTGAGGGGCGTCCACTCTCCCGCCCCGCCCCGTGGGTCTCCCAGAGTCCGCCCTGCCTGACCCGGAGCGTCTCCAGGTGCGCCCAGGTGCGTCTTACCTAAAGGAGTGTGAGAACGGATGAGCCCTGAGACAGAGCAGCAGCAGGAGAAAGCAGAGAGCAGCGTTAGGGGTGGGCGGCCGGGGCCCACCCACCACCGTCCCCCAGGAGCCCCGGCTCCCAAAGGCCACGCAGGGGTGTGGCCCTGTCCCCCATCTCCCTAGGCCCCCACTCCACAGGCAGCACCTGCACAGCCCCTGGTGCAGCCTCCTGGGCGTGGCCATGGGCAGACCCGTCTGCAGGTTAGAAGGGAGAGGGCCTGAGTGTAGAACAGACCCGGTGCAGGCGTGAAGAGGCCGCCGCACGCTGGCCGGGCTCAGCCACACCAAGCCTGCTCCTCTGTGCCAGCACCACACAGACAGCTGCTGGCACAGGTGAGACACAGCAGTCGATCCTCCACCACGCAGCTGGGCCACTGCCTCTCACACACGAAACCAAAACAGGCAGCCGTTCCCAACCTGGGCAGGGGGCCTCAGGACCGGACACACTCTCCACCCAACAGGTGCTTTCCTCGGGGGAGAGGACAACCGAGCTCCTCAGAGGGCCGGTCCCTTGTCCAAGGTCACCAGGCCAGAGGGCAACCTGAGCCAAATACGGTCCCCTCTGCCCCAGAGCACACCAAGGCCTTAGGCCAGGCTGCCACGGACAAGCCCACCACGGACCCGGACCCCAGGGTTGGGGGACCCCCTGGGGGTCGTCCGCCCTGGAGTCTGGATGTGAAGCCCCCTCGACCTTAGTCCCAGGTGCAGGAAGCAGTGATGAGGACGTCAGGGGAGGGGCCTCCCTGGCAACCCACACCCAGGACGGCTACACACAGGCCACCGTCAGGCACCCCGGACACAGCCAGCCGATGGGAGAGGCCTGGCTGCTGCGGTACCATCCTGGCGGCCACACCCCTGCGGGGAGAGTCAGACATCACACCGGCGGCACAGGCACAGCCAGCACAGGCGCAGCCGTCCCGCACCCCTGAGGCTGCATCACGAGGTTGGTGGCCAGTCCACGGTGTCGGGAGACAGCGGCCACTTCATTCCTCGTCAAGGAGAGAGGAGCTCTGGAGAGGAGCTGCCCTGAGGGGGACAGGACCACTGGCCCTGGGCCATTCCCAGCATCCCAAGGCCTCCACTCCCGTCAGGTCTCCATCTAGGACCCTGAACCACCTTAGATGGGACTGAGTACTGAAAAAGACCAAGTGGACGCCAGTGCCTGCAGCACAGGCACCCCACACCAGCGCCGGTTCGAGTCCCGGCTGCTCCACTTCCAATCCAGCTCCCTGCTTATGGCCTGAGAAAGCAGAAGATGGCCCAAGTCCTTGGGCCCTTGCACCCACAAAGGAGACCCAGAAGAAGCTCCTGGCTCTGGATCAGCCCAGCTCCACCTGTTGCAGCCATTTTGGGGAGGGTCTCTCCCTCTCTCTGTCTGTAACTCTGCCTCTCAAATAAGCAAATAAATCTTAAAGCAAACAAACAAAAAAGAACACGTGACCCCAAAGTGAGCAGACACCCCCGCGGAGGATGTGGGTACCTTTAGGCGCAGCAAACACTCAATGCTGTGGTGGGCCGGCATCTCCAGGAAGAACAGGTGCACCTAAGCTCCTGGGAGCAGCCACCACCACCAGGCTCAGCACCGTGCACTCGGGCGGCAGTGTCCCAAGGAGCCTCCCGGGGAGCCACAGCCAACCCCTGCCACCGCCCGCTCGGCTGCAGCTCGGGGCTCCCACCCTGGGCCACAGCTCAGCTGTGGGACGCAGGCACCGCGTGCGCTGTGCAACGTGAGGGCTGTGGGGCCAAGAGGTTCACAACCTCCTGGCCTGTGGCTGCACTCCCTGGAGCCCGGGCCAGGCAAGATGCAGAGGGGACAGCAGGGGCCTGCCCAGACCCACAGGTGAAGTGGGCACCCTCAGTGCAGCTTCCAGGAGCAGCACCGTCTCAGCGACCCCAAGCACGAGAGACAGGCACGTGTGACCGTCCACTTAAGAAGACAGAGGTGACAGATGAACCCCCACCCCCAAACAAGAGTCTATGCAGACAGGGCCGTGCGCCTGAACCCTGGGCTGGAGGCTGACGCCACGCTCCTACAGCACCCCGGCCCTGACCAGGCCTGGGGCACTGTGTATGGTGGGGGTCTCACCTCATGTCCCCAAGCTTCCTGCTGATGGCAGAGCCCATGGTGGACAGGGCAGCTGACGTCTTCTGTCCTGCCTGTGAGAGAGTTTCCTGAGTCTTCTTGTAGCTGGGAGGAAGACACAGCCAGTCAGCCAAGCCAGCCCCGGGGCACCACAGCCCAGAGGCCAAACCCCAGGTACCTGCAGGCCCTGGGCGGGGGCAGGGCAGGGGGCAGAAGCAGGCCCGGCTCCCTGGGCAGCTATGAGGGAGGCCCTGGGGGAAGAGGGGGGGCAGGCCCTGGGGGAAGGGGTGGGGGCAGGGCCTGGGGAAGGGGCAGGGGCGGGGCAGGGGGCGGAGGCAGGCCTGGCTCCCTGGGCAGCTACGAAGGAGGCCCCAGGCCGCCTGCAGGGACACCTGAACTTGCTCCGCCCATTTTCCTGCCTTCTCACAGGCCCTGACTACCTGGGAGACACCATAGGACCGGGCTGCACACCCGGGAAGCAGCCCAGGAACGTGCTGTTCCTAGACCATGCTGACACATGTCCAAGTCGTTCAAGACGGGGGAACGCAGCACAGCCCCCAGGGGCAGTGCAGCCTGTGCCCTGCCCCAGCATGGGAGCCCCTCAGCCCTCCACACCGCAGGGGCTGGCGCGGGTCCATCTGCTCCGAGTCACAGCTCCATGACCTGAGCATCGGCACACAGGCCCAGGGATGCGGAACACTCCTGGACCCAGCGAGAGTCAGCACCCGAGGCGGCCAACCCTGGTCCAGCTGCCACCACAAACAAAACCCATGACAGCATGCATCAGGGCAAAGCCCACAGCACAGCACGCGTGCTCAGCCCCTGGGCCACAGCGAAGGCTGGGGGCCTCCTCGCCCACCTCAGCATCACCAAGCTGAGCCCTGAGGCAGTCACAGTTTGAGACAGGCCCCCCCACCCCAGCAGAGCCAGCAATGGGCCTCTGCCACGGCCCCACAAGGCCCTGTGCCCTCCACGGGCTAACAAGATGGCGGCAGGCGACACAGGAAAGGGACAGGTTTCGCAGCCGCCCACACAGGATGCCAAGAGCACTCGGCACCCAGGAACACAGCCTGAGGACACCGCCCACCTCCACTGCCCTGGAAGCAGAGCAGGAGGCACCACACCCACTCTGGGGGCTGCGGGAGTGAAGGTGTGTCGCGGAGGGCCAAAGCAGGGTGAGCTGGGGCCGGGAGCACCCACAGGGCCCCCGGGACTCAGGGTGGGCACAGGGTCATGAGACCTCAGAAATAGGGACCTGCCCCAGACACAGTGGGCACCCACGTACAGCCAAGTCCAGCAGGGCGCTCACAGGCCCTGTCTCACCCAGCAGTGAGGTCACCCCTCCAGGGCTCACTGTGCTGCAGGCCCATTCTGAGGGTCACGGCACAGACAGGGAGGTGACAGGGCCGTACCCTGGCCAGCACCTTTGGGAACTGCTCAGACCTCATGGACAGACAGCAGCTCCGCCCCCAGGAGCGCGTGGCATCTGGAAGACATTCCTCCTCCTGAGTCCCCTTCCAGGGCTGCCTCCCCCGACGTGGGCTGGGCAAGCGACCAGATCCCGGCTCGCACGGCCCCAGCCCGGCTACCTGCTGCTGGGCTGCAGAGCTGGGAGCGGGGGCTTCCCCAGGAGACCCCTGCTCCTTCCTTGGCTCTCACTACTTAGCTGTGCCTTTCGCCACTTGTGTCCAAAGGACTCCAGGTGAACTATGAAGTAACGGCAGGGACCTGTGGGGCTACCCCTACCTGGGCTCTCAGCCACACACACACACACACACACACCCCACCTGGGCGCTCAGCCACACATACACACATACATACACACACACCCCACCTGGGCGCTCAGCCACACACACACACCCCACCTGGGCGCTCAGCCACACACACACAAACACATACACACACACACACCACCTGGGCGCTCAGCCACACACACACACACACACCCAGCCACACACACATACCCCACCTGGGCGCTCAGCCACACACACACACACACACAGCCACACACACATACCCCACCTGGGCGTTCAGCCACACACACACACACACATACATACACACACACCCCACCTGGGCGCTCAGCCACACACACACACACACACACACACACACACCCAGCCACACACACATACCCCACCTGGGCGTTCAGCCACACCCCCCACCTGGGCTCTCAACCAGCTCCACCCACAATGAAGGCAGCAGGGTGCGGCTTCATAGCACACAGGCCGAGCAGCATGGGTGCAGTCTCCCAACCCTGGGTCTGCCTGTGCTCACGCTGCCCACGGGACAGCCGTGCCTCGACCTGAGGAATGCTGGCTCCCTGCGGAGCTGCTGTCCACTGCAGCTCTGAAGACACAGCCCACTGGGGCTCCTTCACGTCCAGGGCTGGCCGTTGTGCCCGGAGCCCTCACCTGGCAGAACGCGCAGGTGCAGGTGCAGAGGGAGCCAGCTCGCCCCCCAGCTCCTTCGAGACAAGCTCAGCAGTAGCCACTCCTGCCCACGCTCCGTGGCACCCAGGCAGCACTTCCTGCCACACGGGGGATGGGAAAAATCCACAAGGCTATCTTTAAACACCCACCCCAGTTCAAGCTACCCTGACTGGAACACTGACCATGAGTGCACCACCTGGTTTAAGTGTCTGCAACACAGGAGTCAGCCTGGCCACTGCTCCGACACTGAGCCACACCAACTCACCGTGCTATGCCAACACGCGAGGCAGGGTGGAGCCCTCACCGTGCTGTGCCAACACTGACACCGAGGACGGTGCCCTCACCGTGCTGTGCCGACACCGAGGACGGTGCCCTCACTGTGCTGTGCCGACACTGACACCGAGGACGGTGCCCTCACTGTGCTGTGCTGACACTGAGGACGGTGCCCTCACACGTGCTATGCCAACATGCCACGTGAGGGACAGTGGCTCCCAGACCACCGGGACTTCTTCAAGCCCCGCCGACGCTGTCCAACAATGCTCCTAGCATGCCCAGATGACAGCTGGCTGACGCACACTGTGCCCCACGCACATGCCCCCAAGGTACGAGCACAGCTGAGACCCTGCCAGCCGGGGCCAAGTCTGCAGAGGAAGAGCAGAAACCACAGCTACCAAGACCAGGCCAGGAGGTGCTGGCCACTCTGCCCGCGGCCCTCGGGGCTCCGTCAGGGACGCACCGCCATCTGTGGCCTGGGCAGTGTCCCTTGTCACTGCCCTGCCCCTCCAGCGTGTACAGTAAGAGAGGGGCAGCAAACACCAGGCGAGCTCCGTGCTGCGCCACAGGGAGCCAGAGGCAGAGCAAGGGGGAGCGGCTGGGGCGCAGCACTCACAGGTCAGACTGCGTCACTCTGTCATTCCACTCCCCAAGTTTCTCAGATGTTTTCACATAGCTGAAAACAGAAAGTCCGTGGTCAATTATTTAGAAGAAAAATTTCAACCAAGGCTTCAAACCGCAGGTGAGACTCCAGGGAGACAGGTCAGCTGGCAGGGCCTGAGCTCCCCAGGGCCCAGGGCCCAGCTCCCCAGCACCCCAGAGCCCAGCCTGCCCGAGAACAGGGCCTGCCAGCTCTGCCACCTGCAGCACCCCCGCAGGACCCAGGGCAATGCCTCTGCTGGAAGCAGCTCTGGGAACAGGGCTGCAGGGTCAGCCACAGGACACAGCCTGCACGGCCACCACACCTCCGGACAGACTCTGGGACTCAAGTACCACCACCCGAGAAGAAACACAGAGCTGTCCACTGCTGAGGCTGATGGGGTTGGTGGACCGTGAACAATCCATCTGTGCACAGACCCGGCCTCCGGGAGACACTGCCCAGCTCAGGGGAGCCCCGAGGCCATGCCCCAAACTCCATCCTGTTGGGGTCACAGTGCATTTCAGCAGACACAGCTGGGATGGCCACAGAGCACACACTTGCTGAGGGCCCTGAACCCCGCGCTCGTCAGCCTCTGCCTGGGCAGCCGGCTGGGGTGCCCACGTGCCTTCTAAGGAATAAACAGAGGCACAGTTCCCAGGTCAAGGACTCGGCCTCACTGGACCCCACCCTGTGGCAAGGAACTGTGACCCAGCCCTGTCTCTCCGTCCTCTGGGAGGGGACAGGCGGGGGACACTCGCTGCAGCCAGCACCTACGCATTAGAGACTTGCACATCGTGCCAACTCCGGGACAGGTTCTGCTTCAGCCCCTCCAGGGCGGAGAGGCCCAGCCTCCTCTTCAGCTCTCCGCAGTGCCTCTCCTTGGCCGCCAGCACCTGGCGCAGGGTGACGATCTCTTCTTCCACCTGCAAGGCACACAGTGGACTGCAGGTGACCGGCGTCCTTACACAGCTCATCTCAGGACAGCATCCACAGCTGACGCCTGCTTTCATCCAGCACCGGCACCCCGACACCTGGAGAACTCCCCAACTCCCGAGCTGTGCGCCTCACTGCTCCCTCAGGAGCCCACGGCAGGAGCAACCCAGGGGACAGATGCGGCCTGGCCACACCCGTGCTGCTGGGCTCAGCTCCAAGTCTCGGCCAAAGCAAAACCTGAATTCTCTTTTGTGCTTAAGGTAGTTTGGGCTGGGTAGCAGAAAAATCCCAAATAATGAAGACCTGAACTTGCCCAGATCTTAAACTTGAAACAAAAGAGACTTCTCAGACCACCATCCCGTAAAGCTGTGGCACTTGGACTTCTCTCATCTCAGCTGTGGAAAAAGAGGCCCCTTTCCCAAAAGAGTGACTTTTGGATCAAGGCACTAAAAATTAGCTTACTACCAGGTTTCATTTTAGAAAATAAACCTAACATGAAGTAATTCTTACTTATTTTCTTAAAACTTGTTTATTTCAGAGGCATGGAGGCGGGGAGAGCGAGAGAGAGCCCATGTCCCCCAACGCCCACAGCAGCTGGGGGTGGGCTGGTCCAAAGCCAGGAGCCCAGAACCAAACCCAGGTCTCCGTGTGGGTGGCAGGGACCCAGTCCTGCAAGCCATTGCTGCTGCCTCCTGGGGTCTGAGGTCCCAGTGCAGGTCACCCACCCGCACCTCAAGATCCAGACCAGAGCTCACCCCGAGGAGTCCCTTCCAGAAACACAGGCTCACCCAAGACCAAACCAGCACCCACAGCAGCTAGCACGTCCCATGGACGTGCACCCGTGCCTTGGGCAGCAGCCAGTCAGCAACAGGGCGTCAGCCTCTCCTCGCAGCTCTCCTGTGGGGGCCAGCGTTTAGCCTCAGGTTAGGAGGCCCACACCCACACAGGAGTACCTGGGTTTGATACCTGGCTGCCGACTCCAGCTTCCTGCTCAAGTAACTGGGCTCCTGCCACCCACAGGGGTCTGGGTTGAGCGCTCACTCGGGCCGTGGCCGGGCCCAGTCCTGGCTGCTGCAGGCCTCTGAGGAGTCAACCAGCAGACGGGCGCTCACTCTCTCTTCTGTCACTCAAAAAGACAAAAACAGAAACCATCACCCCAAAGACCCTATGGGTAAAGTTACTAAACCAACACACGGTGGAAAGAGACGCAAAGCCAGGTCTCCAGGGCCTTGCTAGCTCTCTGACCTCCTCTGAACAGACAAGCCAGGTGCCGTCCACTGCGCTCTGGAGCCTGGTCCCCGCCGGACCTCAGACAGCAAGGTGGGGCTCACGGTGCTTCGGCTTCTCTCTGGCTGGGGGCTGCAGCCAGCTATGCAGCAAGTTCTGGCATCTGAATCAAGCCACCACTAGAGGCTGCGCTGTGGCGCAGGTTAAGCCTCCACCTACAGCACCTGCATCCCATGTGGGCACCAGTACGAGACCCGGCTGCTCCTCTGCTGATCCAGCTCCCTGCTGTGGCCTGGGAAAGCAGTGGAGGACGGCCCAAGCGCTTGTGCCCCTGCACCTGCGTGGGAGACCCGGAAGAAGCTCTGGCTCCTGGTTCCTGATCGGCCCAGCTCCGGCCACTGCAGCCGTCTGGGGAGTGAACCACCAGATGGAGGACCTCTCTCTGTGTCTGTCCCTCTCTCTGTCTGCAACTCTTCCTCTCAAAAAAATAAATCTTTTTTTCTTAAAGGCCACTATTAAACTCTGTGGCCCAGAGTAAAAAGAAACTCGGTGGTCGGTGTGAAAAACAAACAATGCTGGGAGGCCTCTGCCCCCACCCATCTCGCCCTTCTGGCATCAGGATCACCAAATCACACAAAGCACGTTTCGGAAAAGCAGCGTCTTTAGAAAAGTAAGATGTACAGGGTCCTCACACTGACGTGTGATTCCACAGGGACTCTCCCAGCAGACTGCTAACCTGAGGGGCCACCTCCCTGTGCACACACAGGCCTGTACACCAGACTCACAGGTGCACACCAGACTCACGGGGCACACACCACCCTCAGAGGGCACACACGGTGTGCACGCCACCCTCATGGGGCAGAGGTGGGAAGACAAGGCCGGGCCCTGCCTCCACTGTCAGCACACAGAGCTGGGCCGTCCAGTGGGAGCTGCAGCAGGGGGGCACCCCTGTAAAGCAGAGCGCTGCTCTGTCCCCCAGGGACCCGCGGCCACAGTACCTTGACGAGCTCGGCCCTGAGCTCCTCCTCCTCTGCTGTGGTCAGAGCCTGCATGGCCGGGGTCTGTGTGCCCACACCTGGGCCGATGGGCGCCTCCGAGACGAAGTCGGAGAGCAGCACTCTGCTGGGGGAATTCAGGTTGATATCTGCCAGAGACAGAGCCAGGTCAGAGACGCAGGGAGGCCTGGGTGGGGGAGGAGGGAGGGGAGGGGAGGAGGGGGAGTAGCAGGAGAGGGAGGGGGAAGAGGGGGAGAGGGAAGAGGAGGAGGGGGAAGGGGAGGTGGAGGGGAGCACTCTGCTGGGGGAATTCAGGTTGATATCTGCCAGAGACAGGGCCAGGTCAGAGAGACGCAGGGAGGCCTGGGTGGGGGAGGAGGGAGGGGAGGGGAGGAGGGGGAGTAGCAGGAAAAGGGAGGGGGAAGAGGGGGAGAAGGAAGAGGAGGAGGGGGAAGGGGAGGCAGAGGAGAGCACTCTGCTGGGGGAATTCAGGTTGATATCTGCCAGAGACAGAGCCAGGTCAGAGACGCAGGGAGGCCTGGGCCGGGGAGGAGGGAGGGGAGGAGGGGGAGTAGCAGGAGAGGGAGGGGGAAGAGGGGGAGAGGGAAGAGGAGGAGGGGGAAGGGGAGGTGGAGGGGAGCACTCTGCTGGGGGAATTCAGGTTGATATCTGCCAGAGACAGGGCCAGGTCAGAGAGACGCAGGGAGGCCTGGGTGGGGGAGGAGGGGCAGGAGGATGAGGAGGAGAAGGGGGAGGAGAGGGGCGGGGGGAGGGGAAAGCAGGGGTAGGAGGGAGAGCACAGGCCTGCTCTCGGAGTCTGTGCGGTCGGCGCAGGCAGCCACGCTTTGGCCACGGAGGCCCAACCCAGCGTCATTCGGTGGCTCTGCCACAGCAGAGACCCCAGTGCAAGGCAGCCACGCCCAGCCCTGCCGCCCCCTCGGGAACCCTGAGCTCTGAGGTGGAGACCCCGCCCTCCCGTAGGAACACGGGGCTCAGAGACCCTGGCTGCAAAGCACCCACCTGGTGGAGCCCCCATTTTTAGAGTGACTTAACCTGGGGCAAACACAGTCCCCTCAGCTCATCTGCCAGGGACAAAAATGACAGACAGGGAACCTGTGCAGTCACTCAGCCCTACACCAGCGTCAGTGACACACAAACCCCCCAGGAGCAGCCAGGCCACAGCCACAGGCTGAGGAGTGGGGTGTATGTGTGGCAAGCACGGGTGAGCCTGGCCACGGCCGCAGGCTGAGGGGCAGGGGCCCAGCACAGTGCCTCAGGCCTCAGACCCACGCAGGGTCAAACGCCCACTCATTCTGGGGCGCAGTACAGGGTCTCCTTGCCTGCACTAAGTCTCCCAGACACCGAGGCAGGAAAATGGTCTCCTCCGGTTCACTCTAACCCCGGCACCTGGCCGCCGGCCAGTCGTTCCGGGGGTCAGCACCGTGAGTGTGCACGTGTGTGTAAGGGGACGGCAGCGAGGTCTGCTCCCACTGCGCATGTCTTAAAGAGCCCACAACAGGCCGGTGCCGCGGCTCACTAGGCTAATCCTCCGCCTAGCGGTGCCGGCACACCGGGTTCTAGTCCCGGTCGGGGCGCCGGATTCTGTCCCGGTTGCCCCTCTTCCAGGCCAGCTCTCTGCTGTGGCCAGGGAGTGCAGTGGAGGATGGCCCAGGTGCTTGGGCCCTGCACCCCATGGGAGACCAGGAGAAGCACCTGGCTCCTGGCTCTTGCCATCGGATCAGCGCGGTGCGCCGGCCACAGCGCGCCGGCCGCGGCGGCCATTGGAGAGTGAACCAACGGCAAAAGGAAGACCTCTGTCTCTCTCTCTCACTGTCCACTCTGCCTGTCAAAAAAAAAAAAAAAAAAAGAGCCCACAACAGGCAAGCTGGACGCCCGTGTCCGACTCCTCCCCAGCGGCTGGCGGTGTCTCGCTCCCGCCACCGGGCGGACCCTCGCCGTTCACCGGGCTGCATGGGTCACTGGGCGTCCACACCGCTGGGCTGAGCCTCCTCTGCTGCCTCTCTCTAGGCAAAGGCTCTCGGCAGCTTCTGCCTGGAGAGCAGGAACTGGACTCCGGCGGTCACCAGGGACAGCCCCCTCCAGGGAGCAGGCGTGGGGCTGCAGCCACAGGTGAGGCCCAGGCGCCAGGGCTCCCTGAGGGAGGGAAGAGGCCCCGCCCCACCCCTGGGCACCAGCACATCCTGTGTGGGAGGAGACCCCCACCCAGTCAGGCCTAGCTCCCTAACGGACAGAGAGGCCCTGCACCCACCTGGACAGGCCTGCCCAGCCCCAGTGCTGTGGGTGTCTGCAGTGACCTAATGGATGAGGACATCTTTCTGTCACAGTGCAAATTAAAAAAAAAAAAAAAACTTGTAAAATGAAGTCGTAGGGGCCAGCGCTGTGGATTACCAGGTAAAGCCACCACCTGCACCCCATATGGGCCCCAGTTCCAGTCCCGGCTGCTCCATTTCCAATCCAGCTCTCTGCTGTGGCCTGGGAAAGCAGCGGGAAATGGTCCAAGTGCCTGGGCCCCCGCACCCACGTGGGAGACCCGGTAGAGGCGCCCGGCAGTGGCTTCGTATCGGTCCAGTTCCGGCCTTTGCGGCCATTTGGGGAGTGAACCAGTGGACAGAGGACCTCTCTCTGCTAACTCTGCCTTTCAAATAAATAAGTAAACCTAAAAAAATAAAATAAAATAAAAAAGGAAAACCTGAACGCTTCACAGAAAGAACATCACCAGAAAATCTAAAAAAGTCCCCGAGGGGCGGTCAGACGCTGTCCGGCCGTGGCAAGCGCCCGCTCATCTAGGTCATTCTTACGGCCGCAACTGTGACGTTGCCCACCCAGGCAGAGGCGAGCGAGGCCACTGCAGCCCCCGCCGGATCCAAACACCAGCACCCAGGATCCTGACGCTGGTTCCCGTGCGTGGGCGCGCCGGCAGCGGCAGGGAAGGCCTGGGGCGCGGCCGCGCCCACGCAGGACCCCGCGCCCCCCTCGCGGGGCCCGGCCGCCCTGGAACCTGGCCCGCGCGCCGGGTGTGCCCCGTCTCGCTCCGCCCGCTCCCCAAGAGACGGCCCCGGGCGCGCTGGGCTCCACGCGGCGTTGCCACGCCGGGGACACCGCGCCCCACCGCGCGCCGCTCCGCCGCCCCGCCCCGCGCGGCCGGGCGCGTCCAGGGCCAGGCGGGGAGTCCCGGGGACCCGCGCGGAGGCTCCGAGCACAGTCGAGGCCTCGAGGCCAGGGGCCCTGGACCCGGAGAGGGGCGCGCAAAAGACCAAGGGGACGGAGGCCGAGAGGCGACACCGCGCGGCCCGGACCCGTCTGCGGCGGAGGGGCCGGGCCCCGCGGCTACCTTGGCCGGCGGAGTCCATGTCGGCGGCGGCCGAGCTCGCAGGCAGCCCGAACCGAGCAGTCAGGCCGAGCGGTCAAGCCGGGGTGTCTCTCGCCGCGTACCCAGCAGCCAGCGGAACCACCTCGGCCGCTGCGTATTACGCAATCAGGGGCGCGACAGCCTGTTTCCTCTCGGGGCACAAGCCCCGCCTCCGTCCCGCCTCCACGAACGGCACCCAATGAGAGCGCCCCTTGGCCCAGAGGCCGGCGGTTTTTTTTTTCCCTCCGCACCCTGATAGGCCGAGGCTGCAGGCACCGCCTGAAAGGGAGGTGGGGCTCTGAGGGACTCCCTCCGGGTTGGCTGCGGCGGCGAGACTGGCAGGTAGAAAGGTCTGAGGCGCAGGTAACGCGGGCCGGCGGAGGTGGGAGGGCCGCCCCACGCGGCGCCGTGACCCTCGCGGGGGCGATTGCCGCTGCCGGCGAGCGCCGTGGCCCGCGCACCTCGGCGGGGTGAGGCCGGAGCTCGTGGGACCCCCCGACCCCGTCCTCCGACCGCGGGCGGCGGCCTGCCCGCTCTGTAAGTCCTTGTCCGCTCGCGGGGACAGCCTCGCGTGGGAGTTGTGCAGGAAATGACGAGGCCGCGCCTCGGCCTCTCGCCTGGCGGGGTGCCCCCTGCGCGCAGGCCCAGCGCTCGCCTCGTGCCCACGGCTTCCGCCCGGGTCAGCAGCTAAGGGACCCTGGCCGAGCCGCTCGGCGAGCGCAGCGGCTCCCGGGGGCCTCTGGGCCGGGAACCGGCCGACTGGGTCCGGTCCGCCCCGCAAGGGAAGCCGCGCGCAGCGTCCGAGCCTCCGGGCCACCTGCCGGCCCGACCGACGCCTCCACCTGGCTCGCCACCTCCCTGGGGCGCGGTGTCGTGGCCTGGCCAGCCCTGGCCAGCAGCCCCGCCCGCTCGCGTCCCGGAGCCTGGCTCCAGGAGCTGCCGAGGACGCCCAGGCCCCCTTCCACAGCAGCCCGGAGTGTGGAGGGAAGGAGCCCCCAGGGCAGCACCCCCTCCAACGCGCCCCTGGGACCCTGCCACGCCCACGCCCTCACCTTCCCGTGGGGCGAGAAGCAGCAATCACACAGCTCTGCCATCAACCTCATCAGGGTCATCTTAGCTGGGCTTCCAAAAGCGCGCGCAGGGGGAGGAGAGGGGAGGGGCGGGGACGGGGGTCCATGGGCCCCTAGGCCTGGGGCATGCGCGTTCTCTGTCCGCTGCGGGGTCTCGCGGGGCTGGGCTACAGCCCCCAGGGCATCTGGAACTCCTCGGGCTCCAGCGGGCTGCAGTGAGTCGCCTCCACGTTCTTGAGGTGCTGGCGCGCCAGGAAGAGCGCCAGCTGCCGGCGCCGCCGCGGGCTCAGGCCCTGGCCCACGAGCCAGGGGAAGGCGGGCCCGTGCGGCCCCCAGGTCTCGCCGTCCGCGAGTTCCTCGTGGCAGCGGGCGCGGTAGGCGCGCAGCAGCGCCAGGCACCAGTCCTCGTCCACGCGGTAGCGCGCGTAGAAGGCGGCCTCCTGGGCCAGGCTGCCCACGCGCAGCCAGCGGGTCACGGCCGCGCGGCCCTCGCGCGCCATCACGGCCGGGTAGCGGTGCTGCAGCAGCCGGAGCAGCAGCTCGTTGCCACGGTTGCCCTGCACGTCGCCCGGCGCTGGCGGCGGCGGCAGGCGGCCCGCGGTGCTGACCACGTCGTCCTGCGTGCGCCGCAGCAGCAGCACGGGCCCCGGGTAGCAGCACAGCTGCTCGGCCACGTTGAGGTTGAAGTGCTCGCGCACCGTGCGCACCACCAGCCCCTTCCAGCTGTGCGGCATGACCTTGAGCGCCAGCGGCACCAGGTCGTCGAAGGTGGCGTCCAGCACCAGCGCGCCCAGCTCCGGGTAGGTCATGGTGGCCCAGGTGGCCGTGAAACCCCCGATGGACCAGCCATAGACCACCACGTGGGCGGCCGGGAAGTGCAGGCGGTGCAGCGCGTACTTGACCACCACGTCCATGGCGTTGGCGTCGTGCTGCGGGAAGGGCGCGCCCGTGCTGCCCCCGAAGCCGGGGTGGTTCCAGCCCAGCACCGAGTAGCCGGCCTCCAGGGGCGCCGAGAGGCAGCCCATCTCGTAGAAGCCGGCGTTGCCTTCGCAGCAGATGACCAGGCGCAGGCCGCGGCCCTCGCTGCCCGGGTCCTGGCGGCGGTCCATGAACATGGTGTCGATCTCGTTCCCGTCGCAGGCCACCAGCTTCGCGCGCCGGCCACGGTAGCGCTCCACCAGGCGCTCCTGGCCCTGCTGCAACAGCGGCAGCAGCGCGCGCGTCATCAGGGACATGGAGCCGGGGTACACGAGCCAGCGGCCCAGCGAGTGCGCCAGCGCGTAGCTGGCCAGCTGGCCCGGCAGCTCGCGGATCTGCTGCAGCAGGCACTGCGCCTGGCTGCGCGCCCCACGCGGCGGCCGTCCCGGCGCGTCCCCTCCCAGCGCCGCGTCACGCAGCAGCCACACGCCCGCCGCCGCCGCCGCGCACGTGAGCGCGCGGTGGCCACTGCCGCCCCCGCTGGCAGCGCGCACGTCATCCCAGCGGAAGTCCACCGGCCAGCTGCGGAAGTTGTAGGTGTAGTTGGCGGTCAGGTAGATCTTGAACACGTGCACCAGGGCCTTCACAAAGCAGACGACGCACATGTGCGCGGGCGGTGGGCGCCAGCCCTCGCACCTGAGGCTGGCCCGGGGCCTCTGGGCCGCGGCCCCCCCTCCGCCGTGGCCTTTGTGACCTGGGGCCACCGGCTTTATGATTCGCTGTTGCTGGGGGCGAGGGGCGCACGCGGGGGGGGGGGCTCCCCTGCTAAGCCGAAGGGAGAGGAGGCCGGCGCAGACCTCCTCTCCCTCCGCGGCCGTGGCCCTGCCCCCGCGTACTTTCCCCCAGGCGCGGGCTAGCAGCCACCGCCTTAGACATCCTCTTTCCCTTGGCACCGGCCCCAGCCGAGGACTTCTCCAGGTGGGTCCTGCCTGGCTGGGCTTCCTCTTTCTCAGCCCTGGGCTGAGCCCCCTCACCCCAGACCGCCCCCGCGAGCTGCACCTTCCTCTTCTGAGAAGCTGGGGTGAGTTCCCCTTTTCCTATCGCACTGGAGTTGCTGACGGCCCAGGGGCAGGGCCCCAGGACCCGGATGGGGGGCCCTCGGGAGCCATTCAGCAGCTGCCTGGGTCTGGGAGGAAAGACACTGGAAGCAGCCAGACACGTGCTGCCCGTGTGGGACGCCCAGCTTCCTGCTAAGGGCAATGGAGATGGCGCGGTGGTGGGGTTCCTGCCTTTGGGGGCTGCACTGAGCCCTGGCACGAACCCACAGGTAAGATCTCTCCGTATGAAAGGATAGTATTACAGAAATGCTACAACCAGGGAGTTGATTGAACCCAGCACCACTGAGACCAGATGCCAGGCCTGCCCCAGACCCCGAGCTGCTTGGGGAAGGGGAGGTTCCAGGCCCCAGTGAGGCATGTGCACATCTGCCGTGTTCCGAGTTGGGGCCCTGCCTGGCCCTGCCGGCCCCCACCAGTTTTGGGAATCAGCTGGACGTTGCTACAGCCTCCAGGGTAGCAAACAGGACAGAGCCCAAGCGCCGGGAAAGACTGATCTCCCCAACATGCGGTCACACTTGAATTTCAGGGAGGCGGCACACAGTTTCTGAGCGTGTGTCTCAGCGACTGCATGGGAAGCACTCACACAGCTGGCTCCCGGCTGACGACTGACTTAGGTTTCTTCAGTTCATGGTGGTGCAGAAGTGCCACTCTGGGGGCCGGTGCTGTGGCACAGCGGGTAAAGCCACCGCCTGCGACACCAGCATCCCATATGGGCACTGGTTTGTGTCCCGACTGCTCCACTTCCAACCCAGCTCCCTGCCAATGGCCTGGGAAAGCAGCTGAAGATAGCCCAGATGTTTGGCTCTTGCACCCATGCGGGAGACCCAGATGAAGCTCCTGGCTCCAGCCTCGCCCATCCCTGGCTGTTGTGGCCACTTGGGGAGTGAACCAGCAGATCAACAATCAGTGTCCCTCTGTGTAACTCTGACTTTCAAATAAATAAAGATTTTCTTTAAAGGACCATTCTGTTCCTCACTGTCAGTAAGGGTCAGTAAGTTGCACGGGATGGGCCGGTCAGTTGACGTTTGGCCTGCCCTGGGTTTGTTGGGATGGCACCTGTCGTGTGTCACTGACACCAGGAGGGCATTTGGCCCAGCAGTTGAGACGCCAAGTGCCTGGGTTCCAGCGCCCCCCCTCCAGGGCCCCTGACCCCCATCTCCTGCTGTTCGGATCCTGGGAGGCAGTGCTGATGGCTGGAGGAGTGCCGTCGCCGCACCCACGTGGGAGACCTGGTTTGTGACCCTGGCTTGCAGGCGCTTGGTTTGGGAGTGAACCAGCAGGTGGGATCTCTGCCTCAAAACAAAAGAATATCTGAGTAAATCCACATTTACGTGAATAACCAGCATGGCTGCCGCCAGTAATACAGACCCAGGTTTCTCTGAGGTCCAGGTGCATCCCAGACGGCCGCTCTGCTCCGCGCTCCGGGCCCGAGGGCCAGGGTGCCTCTGTCCTGTGGTCCCGTACAGCAGCAGGGAAGCAGGAGTCCTGCCTAGGAGCTGAGGGATGACCAGGGCTTCCTGTGGGGGTTGGGGGCCTCGCCCTCCTGAAATGTCCACTCAGACCTGTGAAAGGGGCCATGTGGTCAGGGGTGGAGTTGGAAACCAGAGGGAGGGGCATTTACTCCCCAAGAACCATGTGTTCGACCCCACCCGTGGCAGATCTGACCCCAGGCCCGGGCGTGGGCTGGCCTGAATCCCATGGACACCACAGAGACTGCTAGAAGCCACCAACCCCCCAGCCTGGTCCCCCTGAGGCCCTGAGACTCCCGGCTGTTTTCAGCCAGGCCAGGCCCACCTTCCCCCGCAAAGCACAGGAAGCTGGAAGGGTGAGGAGGAAGAGGAGGGGCAGAGGTCAGCCGGCTGGAGCCCCTGGTCCCCAGGGGCCTCATGCCTTAGTCTGCATCGGGCCTGGCCCCTGACCCTGCCAGCCCATGGGAGCCTGAGAGACTGGAGAGCATGTGACAGGAAGTGGGCCGTCCCTGTCCCCTCTGTGGAAGAGACCCCAGCGTGGGCCAGCTGCAGCCCCGTGACCTCGCCTACCCC